GGCGACCCGGCACAGCCCGCCTCTCTGGCCCCACCCCCTTTCCCACATGAATTTAAATTCCCTCCTCTCCTGGCTCATCTCGCGTCCAGGCAGTGCCGCCTGGTGACCCCTATGACCTCGCGGACCCCGCACCAAGCTCACAGACAGGAAGACCAGCGCGCCCTGTTTCCGTCTGACGCAGGCGACAGGAACTGCCCGTGAACACGGCAGTGGACTCGACCCCAGGCAGGGCCCCGAGGCTCCACCACCTCGTGCCCTCGGGCCTCCTAGGGCTGCTCCTCTGAGGGTTCTGCCCAAGGACGGGGAGGGAGGGGAGGGAGGAGGAAGGTTCCCTCAGGTGGGGGCCCAGGCTCCTTTCTCACACGAAGGGTTAGTCACCAAGGAGCCTGGGAAGGGACCCTCGAAGACAGACTTCAGGGCCCAGACCAGAGGCTCCGTCCTGCTCTCAGCCGGGGTCACGGCCCTGCCCCTCGAAAGCTCGAGGTTCAGGAGCTCGCGAAGGAGAGGGGTCCCAGGCCCTGCAAGAGGCTCCTCCTGCGAACCTGCCCAGAGCTGGCTTAGGGGCCTCGTGCTTCACAATTAAACTTAAATTCAGCAACAGCTCACAAAGGCAGACCCAGTGGGAGGCTGCCTGCTTTCATGGAGGGCGTGTGTGCCCCTCCACGGCCAGATGGAGCCGCGGCCACGCCGGGGGCAGAGCTGCCCACAGGGTCGGCTGGACCTGCCCCGGGACACAGCTCTCAGCACTGGACAGCGCTCCAGGCGGGACGCGGATGTCCTACTGTGCTCCAGGCAGGCCAGGGAGGAAGAACTACCCATCCCCATGTTCACTGCGCCCGAGAAGAGCTCGCCGAATGGATCCTTTCTGATCGACTCAGAGGCAGCCACGAGGGCTTCTGTAGGTGCTACAGCTGGTTAGATAAACGCGGGACAAGTAGCTTCAAAAGGTACGACGCACCCAAACTTTTGTTAAAACTATAAATATTCAAAAACCAGCCGGGGTGTAGAAAAGTCCTTTATGTCACGACGGTTGTTTTAAAGTGAGCAGGAGAGATGCTGAGTACCACTCACACGCCCTGTAATCATTGTACGCGAGGAACTGCAGCATAAGCAGGTCTGCTCAGGAGAGAGGCCTGACATTCAGGGCGTGCTCGTGCTCTGCCTCCGGTGGAGCCCCCCTGCCCCCCGCAACAGGCCCACAGCCGCTCCATTTGCTGGCGTCTCGTCAAGGCTGCTCTCCCACTGTCACAGAGAATCGAGTGTCACACAGACGACTGACCACAGCGTGCTGGGCCCTGACCTGGTGCTGCCCCTCCCCTCCGCTCCCGCTCGCACTGGGGGCAGAGCCTGCGCCGTCCTCACAGGCGCCACGTGGCACATCACCTGGGCAAGTCCCCGAGTAAAACTCCACAAATGTGTTACCTGGTTACATACCATCCGAACGTGCCGTTTCCTGTCACCGGAGGGAATCTGAGGCAGAACCAAGGACAGGCTCCAAGACGGCACAAGGATTTAGTCTGAGCTATTAATTCGGCAACAGGTTTTTAAAATGTCCCTCCTCTCTGCCAGGAGCAACACTGGCATAGTTTAGGGTGTAAGAAAACACCATTTTTAAAGCATCAAGAAGCCACGTGTTTTGTAAGGCTCATGCTGTTGAGGCTCCTGTGTCAACACTCACGTGCCTTAAGGGATCCTGTTCGGTGTAAACTATGCTTTTCCTACGCAGAAGCTCAAGGCACCAAGCGGCTGCTACTGCTTCCAGCCCTGAGCCACGGCCAGCGCCCGGCCACCCGCCGTCGCCACCGCAGAAGGAATGACTCTGTGACTCGAGGGGCCGCCCAGGCTGCTGCCTCTGATGGTCAGAGCTGAACCTTGTGCTTTGACGAGGGCCCCAGGAACGCTCAGGGTGAAAACGATCCCTTTCTTAAGGATGCTATTAGTTGGTCTAGAAAATGTTTAAAAAAACAACAACACAGGAAAAATACCAGCAGGAAATTCAGCAGAAGGCTAAACAATAATTTCTTCTTAGTGGTACGACTTTGAACAATTTCTTCTTCTTTGTAGCAGAATCCCCTTTTATAACAAAATTTTCTACCACCTCAACCTTTACTATCCCGACATGAAAGCCACTGATATAAGCCCTAGCTAACATCATAACAACCAATCATCTGAACAAACAGAGGAAACTAACATGATGCGATGCAGTGTTTCACTTGGACAATCCGAGGCCTGTGATACCAGGAGGCAGACGAAATACACAAGGCCGCCAGGGCACGGCTCTCCCAAGCCATCCTGGAGCAGAAGGTGGACACGGGCCTGGAGCACGCGCTGCTCAGCGCCTCCCATGCGCCCCACCGTCACCGCACGCACCACCGTGAGGGAGAGAAGCAGAATTAGGTAGTTTTCTCAAGTTCACGGTGGTTCAATGTTCAGAACCTCCCTCTGCCAGAAGACGTGCATTAACGTGTAAAATCAAGTCTGGTTTTGGACTCATAACTGCAGGGCGATGGTCACACGGGCACACAGCCCCACAGCCTCGGCCAGACCCCCAGCTGCTCGAGAGCCACCGCCCTGTGCTCGGAACTCCGTCTCCACGACAACAGGCCAAGCTCATCAGGTCCCTCCAAGGAGACAGAGCCGCGGCCACTAACCCGCTAGCACCCGAGGCGGCAGCAGCGGAAGAAGTGGGGAGACGGACGGGGTGACGGACCGTCCTGGTGGCTGATACACCTTCCTCACCCCTGTATGAGGAATCAAAGTCCAAACAGAGAACAGGATGCAGCTTGCTCTCCTGACAGAGTCCTGGCTGGGGCAGAACGCATGGGGCCACAGGACAGTGGGTCCAAAGCTACAGCCGCTCCAGGGAACAGACTGCGCCCTGATGACCCGTCTCCTTGGCAACAGCACGACCTAAAATTAATCAGATCCTTAAAAGGAAGATGCCAAGAGGACCGGTTCTGAGACGCCCAGGCGGCCTTGGGAGTGGAAGGCCCATGTGACTCTGGAGGGGGCGGGTCACGGGGTCACTTCTGGAGGAGACATCAGCGGCTCTGGGTGGAGAACTGCCCCACACACGGCCGCTCCTTCCCCCACGGCCTGTCCCCCGGGGGCTGATGCGACGCCATCACTGAGGGGCCCGTCCCCATGAGCACCAGGACCCCATCAGCCCTCAGACTTCTCAGACCCCGGCCTGGGCAAGCTGGCCACCCCCTTTCCGAGGCGGAGGCTGAGAGAGGAACAGCGATGCCTCTCGTTCACTCTGCTGGAGGAGGGGCTCGCTCTGAAACAAGGACTGTGCTGCGGGAGCACTGAGAAAGTCTTGCGTCCACACAGCACCTCACCTCCCTCCGTGTCTTCAAGCTCAGCCCGCCGGCTCCCAGGCAGCTGCCTCGCCTGGCCGGGCCTCGCCTCGCGGGGCATACCTTACCATATTAGGCAGTCGGGCGAGCAGGAGGCTCAGCCTGGGATTTTACCTAAAAGGACAAGGGCTGGAGGGACGGGAGGTCACTGGTGCACTGCTTGGGTTGGTGGGGGGCGGGGGGCGGCAGGGGGGGGTCCAGCAAAGGCTAGAAGCGGGCTGGGAAAGCCAGGGCCGTAGGGACAGGGCTGTGACTTCCTCGGGGGGACTGGAGCTGGGGGGACACTGGAGGAAACAGGGCAGGGTACTTAGGGAGCCGACTGGAGCGGGGCTCCCCAGGCTCGGGGCGAGGAGGAGCACGGCCCCACTCCTGCCCTTCCCATCGTCCCGCGATTCCCGCTCCTGCAGCCCCGTCAAGTCCACTTCTCAGAACTCACCAGGGACAGTTCAGACACTGACACACGTCGGGGGAGCCTGGGCGCCTCTCTGACTCACAAGACACCTATTCTCTGCAGAAAAACTAGGAATGACGTCAAATCACCCGATTCTAAGGTCAGCGAAAGCCTCACTCTCATCTAGACTTAGGGACCTGGACCCGGAGGATCTCAATGGGCCTCCAGCACCCCAACCATTTAAATGTACCATCACTTCCAGCACAGCTCCAGGTCGGCCGGGCATCACCCACATGTACACGAGGGAACGGAGGCTGGGAGCTAAGTGGTGCGCCAGGTGCAGGCGGGCTGCAGCTTAGGCGTCCGCTCGCGTCCTAACAGGGTGTCCCTGGAGACATAAACAGACGGAAAGCCCACCTGACAGCCCCATAGGAGCACGGCTGTGATAGGAGCTCGGGGCCTCCGTTCTCATCTCTGACACGAGCAGCAGGAATTTAGGGTCCCTGAGGCCGCCCCACCGTCCCCAAGCTAAGCCCAAATCTGCTCCCCGTCTCCAGCTCACAGCCCCACGGACTCCCCCGTCTACACCGCCTGCTCACTCTGCTCAGCTACATGGGCCCCCACCTCTCCTCAGGGGTGTCGGGCACACTCCTGCCTGTCTCTCTGCCGGCGCCGTCCCAACGACAACACTGCACCCCTAAGTCCACAGCCCACTACCCTCCTTCAGGTCTACGCTCGCACGAGGCTTCCCCAACAAGGCCTGTCCGACCACCTGCTGGTGCTGCCCTGTCCACACGTGCCCACCAGAGCCTCCCTCGGGAGCGGAGGTGGCATCGAAGGCGACCCTGTGTAACCCGCCGAGCGGAACGCCAGCGGGAGGCCTGGCCAGGTCCCTGAACCCTAACTTGTTGGGGCCTCGGTTTCCTTCACTGTAACAGGAGGCTCCAGCCCAAGTCACCTCTGAATCCTCCAAAGCCGAGGTGAGTGACTCCACTACTTGGAACTGATTTCAATGGTCCCTTTAACACAAAGCAAACTGTCCCTCTCCGCTGTGCAGGGCCCGTCCGTGGAGGCACCATCGTCCTTGTCGGCCCCCAGTGCCTCCGAGTGACGGGTCCCAGTGCCTCCGAGTGACGGGTCCAGTCACAGGACAGATGCTGCGAGGCCCCGAGGGGCGGGCGGAGCACGCAGGGCGAGGCCTCCCCTGAGCACGCAGGGCGAGGCCTCCCCTGGCCCGCGCAGGTGCACAGCACAGGAGACAGACGCTCCTCACTGCCAGCGTGTTCTCACAACAGCCTTCCCCACCTTAGGACGCGGGCTCACTTCTCCTTCACCGAGCGAGGGAAGGCCATCCGGACACCTGCGGGCTGCACACCGGATGTGACAGCCACCAGCCGGGCTGCCCACACACCCGTTGGCGGTGTGTTCCCGGTCTCACTGGCTCCTGAAGCGACCAATGGGGACAGGCTTTGCCACACCAGGCACGAGGCAGACTAAGCAAAGTCTCCACCGTCTCAGCACCACGCCTCGTGCCCTACAGCGACGCAGGGCAGGCCTGCCTGTCGCAACCGGGAGCAGAGGCAGCCTCCAGCCAGAGCCCCTCTCCACATCCAAATGCTGGTGACAAACAGACGCAGTGCCAGTGCCGTCTCCACTCCCAGCTAAAGACTCAGAGATGCCCCCAGGGGCGCCATCACGAGAGGGCGGGAGGCAGCCTGCAGCTGCTGCCCGTCGCAGGAGGCGGGAAGCGGAGGAGACTGTTCACGGGCGTCACAGCACCGACCCTGCCTGCGCCCGAGGACGCTCTCTCTCCCTCGCCCGCGGCCGGCTCTGCGCGGCCTGGCCTCCTGCGTGAGGTGTGCGTGTGAGCAGGCCCGGGGACACCCTCGCTGGCTGTCACTTACCCTCGCTTCCTTCACCTCTTCAGAGCCATCAGCTTCCTCCTCCTAAAAAGGAAAGAGTAGAAAACAAGAGGGTCACGTCGCGGACGCCTTGGGAGCAGGAGGGTCAGCCGTCAACAACCCGACACACGGCCTGGGGGGACGGACAGCTCGGACGTCCTGCTGCCACAGCTGGGAAGAGCTCTGAGACCACAGACCTCATCTCCCGTCGACAGTCAGCCCACAGCCCCCGGCTGTGAGCATCTCCCTAGAGCACAGTTCCACAGATGACACTGCCCTTTCTTCCCCACCGGACGGCTCAGCTAATTTCAAAGGAGTTGTTGGGAACCAGGGGTCTGACTCTTAAAACCCCAGTGATGGAGCGGGGGGAGGGGGAGGAGCGAGGGGGGCAACTTAAAGCTCCGGACGGGGTCTGCAGCCAGCGCACAGGGCGCCTGCCTTTGTGCAATGCCAGACTCAACCTGTTCTGTGTTTTTTTCCTGCCTCAACATGTTTTTTTATGATCCCCCCCTTTTTCCTCCAAAAGAGCGAGGCTGAGCCGGAGGGACTGGTTACTTCCCGTGGTGCCATCCCTGCGAGGAGGTCCGGGCGGCACAGCTCTGGGGCATGGGGAGGACGCTGAGGGCTGGGCTAGCTTCCAGGTTGCAAACAGTGGTTTTCACGCATCACCCGTCGTGACTGAGTACCTACTATGTGCCTGGCGCTGCTCCAGCCACTGGGCCCCCAGGAACACCCTCACGAGTCCCACACGAGTTCCCTCTCCTTTCTGTCCCACAGACACTTCCTGCCACCTGCACCTTGGGGCCATGGGTGGGCCTCTGACCTCAGCATGGAGGGTGACCAGGTGCTGTCCACTTACGTCCTTCGTCCAGAAGCTGATGCCCGTGCCCCTCCGCCGCTCCCGGGGCCGCCTCCGCTCACGGACGGACAGCCCACCGGCGCACGGGTCGTCCACACCTGCCTCTTCGCTCTCTGCGGGGGAGAGAGGAGTGAGCACCAGGACCCAGGGTGCGGCCCGAGGACGCTGTCGGGAAACTCCCCGGAGGCTGCATTTCCGGGAACTCTACGCACCGTCTCTGTCCATGTCCTTGGCCTCTGAGCTCTCAGCGTCAGGGGCTGCCGGCCCGCTCGTCCGTAGTAGGTGGGAGCTGGTGTAGAGGGTGGGTCTTGAGGTGGTCGGGGACACGGCGGTGGTGGGCTTGTCTGGCTGAGCTGCACCCCTCAGGCGACGGCACGCAGGCTGGGGGCCAGCCACAGGGAGACGTTAGAGTCCAGCCCCACCAAAGGGCATGCACAGTGGGCTTGCTGAGATGGGCTTTTCTACACCAAGAGGGTCACCAGTAGTAGATGCTCAGGAAGTAGCTAAAGCTAGTTGATTGCCGGAAAGGAGATAGTGATGGCCTGGCCGAGGGCACAGGCAGCCCTGATGCTGGAGAAAACCCCCAACTTTGGAATGAAATAGAAGGACAAGGGCCTCAGGATGAAGCTCCACCCACCCGCCAGCACAGGCCTGTGGCCTCACGAGCTCACCTCTTCCTCCTGACCCCGGCTCCAGGGCTGGCGGCCTTCCCCGGTGTCCTTGGCGGGGAGTGTGGACGTCTCATGCCTCTCGGCGCGGCCCTCCAGCCCTTCGGTACCCAGCTTCTGGCCAGGCTGGTCCTGAGCCTGCCGCTCCGCCCGAGACCGGCTGAAGGTCCTCTCTGCCTCCTGCAGGTCTGTCAGGGTCACTCCCTGGGGAGAGAGGACAGATCAGAGAGGGGCCAGCCTGACCAGGACCCCACATCCCAGCTCCGAATGAGGCCCTCAGCACGGACCATCTCTAGCAACACGGACTTAAAGTCAACCCTGAGTGTGCAGAGCCCTGTCCCCGAGGGCGGCCGAGCCTCGCTGCTCCTCATTGCCAGGTAGCAGCGCTGCATGGTCAGTGACAGCCCTGCACTCACCAGTCCCTAGTGGGGGACCCTGGGGTCGCCAATGGACAGGAAAGGACCAAGGACAGAACGGAGGCCACACCCACCTGCGTCGACCTCCGGGTCTGCCGGGCTTGCCTGGAGCGTGCTTTCCGCAGAGACTCGGCCTCCTCATCACGGACGGGCGTCAGATACGACCTGCGGAGGGATGGACACAGTGAGGGTCTGCCCAGCCCGCCCTCAGGAAGACGAGGTGTCCGCATCCTCAAGTGGGTCCCACCTGCAAAGAGCGAAGGCAGGAGCTGGCAGAGGCTGTGGGGAAACTGGACACAAAGCAGCACTGAATCCTGGGGACTCGCTCTTTTTAGTTTAGGGCTCTCCACCCACGTCCCGTGAGAGACTGCAGCGACTCCCACTGCCGTGACGGCTGGGCGAGCCGAGAGGAGGGTCTCCTCTCTGTTCTGTGGGGACGTGTGTAAGATTGGGGTCTGTCCTCCTTACTCACTGAGAGTTCACCAGTGAAGCATCTGAAAAGGTCTGAGAGGGGCTCCATTTCTTTACTACACTGAGGCCTATTCACATTTCTGTTTGGTGATCTGATCACAAAATGGGCAGAGGATTAAATAGACCTTTATCCAAAGAAGATGTACAGATGCCCACAGGGACGGTGCTAAAGGCCACTCACCACCAGGGAAATGCAAATCAAACCACAGTGAGGTGCCACCTCACGCCTGTCAGAATGGTGCCATCAGTAAATCAACAGCAACAAGTGCTGGCGAGGACGTGGAGAAAAGGGGACCCTGTGTGCTGCTGGTGGGAATGCAGACTGGCGCAGCCTCTGTGGAAAAAATACGGACTTTCCTCAAAAAATTAAAAACAGAACTGCCTTTGGACCCTGCAATCCCACTTCTAGGCATTTATCCGAAGGAAACAAAAGCACTAAAGATGGGGCACAGGCACAGTGAGACATTGCTCAGCCGTAAAGAGAAGGAAACCCTGCCGTTTGCAACATGGAGGGACCTGAGGGATCGGCTAGTGACACCGTCAGACAGAGAGACGAGTCGTCCATCTCACTTTCCATGGAATCTAGACGCCCCAAGCGCAGACACAGACAGCAGAGCGGTGGGTGCCAGAGGCAGGTGGCGAGTGGGCACTGTGGGTGCAGGGGGTCAGAAGGCCCAGGCGTCCAGCTTTCACCGAGGCCAGTCCTGGGGCAGCACCCAGGGTGGTGGCTGCACTGAGGATGGGACAGGCGCAGAGGCCAGCAGACCCGAAGCGTCCCCACAGAAGGGAGCGCTGCCCTGTGTGGCGAGGGGTTCCCCGCAGCGAGGCCCAGGCACCGGGTTCTGCAGTCGGCTTGTCCTCCACGGGGGCCGCTCCTCCGGGAGACACACTCCAGCAGGCCTGGCACCTGCCGTCCAGCGCGACGGTCACTGTCACTCACGCAGCCGGTGGGATGGAGAAGCTTGGCTTTACATTAATTTAAGCCTCAACAGCTCCACATGGCTACGCTCCCGCTGGACGGCACAGCCCGAGAACCCACTTAGACGACCCGAACCCCGGACCCGTCTTGTCTCCACGAACCACAGGCAGGCAGCCTGCCAGTGACGCTGAAAGCAGCTGATGCGACTCCTCAGGACACAGCCGCCCTTCCCGCCATGCTCCTCGGAGCCTCCACTGTCGCAGGTTGCGGAGGCGGTGCTGGCTCCCACCTGAGACACTTACAGGGGCAGCACCAGACCAGCTGCCTCCCCGGGACCCCCACTTCCCTCTGCCTTGACCACAGACTGTACCTCCTTGCGCAGGCCTGCATGGCGGCGGGAAGGTCGAAGACGTGGGGGTGGACGGCCAGAGAGGTGCGTGGCTGTGGGGAAGACGCAGCCTCGGCACCCACTCCCTGGGCACCCGAATGCTGGCGGCGGCCACCAAGCCGGACGCCAGGCCTGTGAGCACGAAGCTGCCGCAGAGCAGGGGGCGGGGGGGCAGGAAGGCAGATCCTGGGCTCAGCAGAGCCAGTGCCGGTAACAGTTCCCAAACACACTGCATGAGATGCTATTTCATCACTGTCCGATCAATACTCCCGTCCGCGGGGAAGGCGGGGCGCGCAGGGAGGAAGACGCAGGACGTAGCTCGGGGAGGAGTCCTGGACACGGTTCCACCTGCCCTTGGGCGACCCTCAGGCTGCCCGTCCCAGTGGGCCATGGGGGCAGATCCTGCCTCGCTGGCGACTGAGTGGTGAGGGCGGGTCAGAAAGAAACAGCACAGAGTCAGCATTTCAGGCTGTGCAGGCCACTCAACACTCCTACTCGACACATAAACCAAAGGGCGAGGCCCCGAGCCACAGAGCTACGGAGGAAGCCTGCAGACCCTGCTCTCGGCTCAGCAGCACGCCACGGCTCAGGGGACCCTGCTCTGTACAGACTGGGAGTCTGGCGTGTCTGCGACGACCTAGAAAGTACTGTGTCATCCTGAATTCGTGTCCTTCTGAACGTTTGCGCCATTAAAACACTCCAGCCTCAAGTGCCAAAGCCACTGCCACTGAGGGCACGGCCTTCGTTATGTAGGTCACGTACAGTTAGTTCCGGACCAGCCATGGCAGACTCCAGCCCCCAAAGGCCAGCGAGAGCTGATTAATTTCACCCCCACAGGCTGGACCAGCTGGGCCAGCCAACTGCCCTGCACTGATCACTGACCACAGCCAGGCCAGGTCAGACTCAGCACCAGCGCTAGTTTGGTGTTTTTTTTTAAACAAGAAAGTCCTGGAAATAACCCAAATCTCAAACAGTACAGAGAATAGTTAAATAAATGATGGAAGATCCATTATAGAATACTATACAGACATTACAAGACAAAATGAAACCAAAAGATACCCAAGTTGGGAAATATTAGTATCCTGAATATGTAAAGAACTTACAGCAATGTAAAAAAGAGTAAAAAAACCCAACTGAAAAAAATCAGCAAAGCACAATCAGGAAATTCACAAAATAGGAAACTCCAAAGCCTGTGAGCGTAAGAGAAAACGTTTATTTCCACTAATGATCGTGAAATGCAAACTAAGACGGGAGGGACGACTTCGCCTTCCTTAGACTCGCAAACACTGACGCTGTCCACGTGCCGGGAAAGAGCGGGACTGGCCCCACAGGCCCCGCGTGGGGCGGGGGGGGGGCACTTGTTTGCTTCCTTGGACAACTTTGAACTTAGGCTGGACCTTGTGCAGCTAAAACTTTTAACTGTAACAACGATGTTAATGACAGAGCACTGACCAGACAGTATGAGACATGAGACATACATGGTATCCTAGCGGGTGAGACGCTGCAGGCTGTGCTCAGCCTAAGGGAGGGAACCCAGGGAAAAGGCGGCGGGCGGCGCCTCCGGTTGTGAAGAAGGCAAGGCACACGGAGGGGTGAGAAGCGCCCGGACCGGGAGCCTGTCCTGAACACTCACCTCCTTCGCAGTCAGGTGACAGCTGTCCCCTCCCCAGGGCAGCGCTGTCCCCGGCTCTGCTGTTCCAGGGTCCCTCCCAGCCGGGCCCCCCTGCCCCCCGAGAGGCCTCTGCAACAGCTTATTATCTTCCCGCCCACACCCCACCCCGGTGACTCACATTCCTGTAATTAAGACTCAGTGGCACGTTCTAAGTCAAGTTTTCCTGGGGTGTCATTTACACACAGCAAACTTCCCTTTTTAGACGAGGAAATGAGGGAAGGAAAATAGTGCCCAGAAGTGGCTGTGGCCACAGCTCCCAGCAGCCAAGCTCCGAGCGGCGGAAAAGGGACGGGGGACACTGACCCTGTGGAGGGAAGGGCCTGTGAAGACGCGGGAGGCCTGGGACCGACACAGAAGGGGTTCACAGAAGAAAGAGGCAGAAGGGACACAAACAGAAAGGACAGTGAGCTGGAGAAGAAGGTGTCACGGCCCCAGGAGAAGCCTCACAGGAAGAAGCGCCCCCGCAGTGCGGGACCTTCTCTCTGCCCCCGAACACCTCACCTGTGCAGGAGCCACAGGCGCCACAGGCGCCCCTCTGCCGCCATCTGCTGGACACACAGGCACTGCACAGGCGAGACCACGGCCCGCAGCAGCATTTATTCAAGCAGCCTGTGTAGGCTCCGCGGTGAAGAAACACAATCAAGGCGCACCAGCAGGAAGCTTCCATGTGCATTAGTCACACCATCCAAGAGCAGAGCAGCAACAGCACCCGGGGGCGCCCTGGTGCAGGGGTCTCGTGTGCACAGGACCGTGCTCAGCAGAGGGGTGACAGGCCTCGGCGTGGCCAGAGGGCCCCCGTAACCATGCCCAGGCTTTCTCCCTGGTGCGCAGCTGCAGACACAGGGGGTGGGGTAGGGGGGTGAGCTCCAGCCTCAGAGCCGTGGGCTGGGATGACCCAGCAGGACTATGAATTCTGCCTGGAAATTCGTCCTCGGAACATCCAACCCCAGTCAGAGAGCGTCCATCGCACACGCACGGGATACACTCACCTCCACTCTCCCGTACGGCAGTCCGCGGTAAGCAGGCAGCCTGCACCCAGACCCAGCGCCGGCCTCTCGCCGACAGCTCCCTGCCGCACCCGGAGCCAGCCTTCCTCCTCCTGCACCAGCGTCTCCGTCCTGCCCCGACTACCCAGCAACCTCCTGCCCAAGCACCTTCATTACTCAGCACACGTCATCAGGGAACATAAACGGCAGGTGATACAGCTGCCCCGTGCACTGCCGTCTGACGTTCGGGCCACATGACCGACCCCGTCTCCTCCTACGGAGAAGCACTGAGGCCCTGACCCCCTGGGGCGCTCCAGTCGGGCACACGTTCAGGCTCCGGAGCAGCTCCACACCGTTCTGGCTGGCGACCTGTTCTTGCCCCTGCTCCTCCGCCCTCCCCAGCCGCACCCCCACCCCCCGACCCACATCTGCAACCAAACCGCTTCCCCAAGGACCATCAGGAAGAACCAAGGACCGAGCAGAAACAGTACCTGGATGTCACGCTCTAAGCAGAGCCCGGCGGCGGCTCGGCTCAGCCCGAGGGGCGAGGCGTCCCAGTCCCTCCCCGGAGCACAGAGGCCACCCTCCTGCCCTCAGCTTTCCTGACAACCAGGCTCCTTCCTTGGCTGCACCTGGGCAGGAGCTCGCCCAGAGCCCGATCAGCAAACAGGGGCCACCTGGCTGTCCTTCCCCAGGAGCACAGCCTGCTGATGGGCTGTCACAGCGACT